AACACTTTCTTCCTTCATCCAACAGAGAAGTTAAGCAGCTCTTGGGTTTGGGTACCTTGAAGACCCTTTACTGATGAACAAGAAGCCATAGTCTCTGCTGTCATGGAAATGGAGGACTAGTGCTGGGAAAAGACCACAAAGGAACACAAATACGTGCACTGCTATACATTGCAGTAAGAGCGGAGGGAGGAACCAAGATGGCGGAACAGATTGGAAGATTTTTTTGCATCTTGCGTCCATGAAATACAGCCAGATCAATACAGTGCAGCAAGTGCTATGGAGGAAAGAGATTGGATTCTCTGAGCTACAAGAAGAGCATAAGTTCATCTAGACTGGGGATCGTCACAATTCTCCATTATCCAAAGCACCCACAAACTTAGTGGCCTAAGACCAAACGCGGTCATGATCTCGCTCGATTTTGTTGGTTGACTGGGCTCAGCTGGGTGGTTCTTCTAATCCATGTGAGGTTGACTGTAGCCACAGTCGGTGGAGGGGTACAGGTAGCTGGAACCCCCAAAGTGGCTGGCTAATATGGCTGGCGGTTGAGTCCGGCTGTCTTCTGGGAGCCCAGCTGAGACTGTTACCCAAAACACGCATGGTGTCTCCATTTGTTTTCGGCTACTTATAGCATGGCAGCTGGGTTCCCCGAGGGAGCATCCCAAGAGCAATTGTTCTTTTTTTTTTTTTTTAATGTTTATTTCTGTTTTTTAATGTTTAATGTTTTTTAAATATTTATTAATTTTTTTAATGTTTTTTAAATTTTTTTTAATGTTTAATGTTTAATGAGTTGGGGAGGGACAGAGAGAGAGGGGGAACAGAGGATCTGAAGCGGGCTCTGCGCTGACAACAGAGAACCCGACACAGGGCTCGAACCGATGAACCTCGAGATCATGACCTGAGCCAAAGTCAGATGCTCAACTGACTGTGTCACCCAGGCGCCCCAAAGCGCAAGTGTTCTAAGAGAGGGGAAGCAGAGGTGGCCAGGCCAATGAAATGCCGTGGGCACAGCCCTGTTTCCCTTGTCTCCTGATGATTAAAGCACTCGGAAACACGGCACCCAGTCAGTGTGGGAAAAGGCTACCGAAGGGTGCGAACGCCCGCCCGTGTGGTTCACGGGGGGTAACCACAGTTAGAGAAGACCTCACCAAGGGCCGAGTTCCTGCATACGGGGGTGGTGCTGAGTTCTGAAAAATGAGCATAAGTTTGCCAGGCCAGGAGTTGGGAGCAAGGCGGCCCCAAAGACCTTGGCTTCCTTGGGAGCGACAAGACAAGAAGACTCTTGTGGCTGGAGCTTGGGGAACAGGGAGGCGAGGGACCGCGGGTTGGACTTGAAGAATGTGAAAGAGATGCCAAGAACAACTCCAAGTTTTCTGGCTTGACGCCCCGGAGGCAGCAGGCTCAGGGGAGCGGGTGCAGGAAAGAAAACCAAGGGTTCCATTTATGACATGCTTTTCCTTGAGACGCTCATGGACACGTCCAGATGCAGGCAGCAGGTAGGCAACCGGATGAAGGAGACTAGAGCTCGGAAGCCGCCGAACCGCTGTTCGTTTGCCTGCAAAACAGTCTTCTGCCGATGCCTCCAGACCCAGCCTCTCCCCTTCCCCCACACAATCCGGGCTCCGTCCCTGCCCCCACAACTGGCTGCATTTATTCACGTCTCTCTTTGCCCTCTGCCTGCCTCTCGCCCTCCACCCATCACCTGGCTGCCTCCTGCCAGACCTGTAGGTACGACCCCTCCCCCTCCCCTGCCCCGGATCAGGTTAGGATCTCCCGGTCCGACTTCCCATGGCGCTTCGCCACGGCCCTTGCCATATTGCATCCCGCTGTTATCTGCACACATCCTTCAAATCCTCCCCGCCTGGAATGTGAACTCCCTGAAGCAGGAAGCGTGTGGCGTTTAAGGTTGTGTCCCTAGCAGCAGTGGGCGCTCCTTAAATACGTATTGGATGAATGAGCCGATCTCTGACTCCAGCCCCTTCTTGCCCCGGTTCCTACGGAATATCACGCCTTCCCTTCTCAAGAAGCTCCGGAGACTTTCTGTTGTCTACTGATTTCAGTGCAGTCTTGGCGTCTTCTATCATCTGTCTTTTGCTAAATGTGTTGAAAGAGAAAACAGGCGGAGCCTAGGGGAGTCCCTGCAGGGAAGCTTCTCCAGGCCTCTCAGGCACCTCTGCACCGAGGTCTCAAGTCCCTTTTCAGTTCCCACACAAACACTAGACTGTGGCACGGAGCCAAGATGCCAAGTTCTCAAATGGAAGACGCGGGCTTCGAGCCCACCGGAATGTTACCACCGCTGACTTTCTGCGACGAGACTGCCCCCTCACCCGGCATACATACCTAGCGATGGTAAAAATGAGCGAGAATGGAAAAATGAAACTAGATGCTGCTATTAAGAGCTAGTTAGATCCGCCCATCACAGCTGAGAACACGAGGGGCAGATGGAGTCTCTAGCCTTAAGTCAGTGGGCTTTTGGGGGTCAAGCGTAGAGTCCGTTGCGAAGGATGAGAAGAAATCATTGTCTATCGTATAGGAAATGCTGGGGATATATTGTTGAAGATTGAAGGCAGAAGGTGAGGTGGAAAGTGGCATTAAAATTGTTTTTTTCATGTTTATTAATTTTTGAGAGACAGAGCGGGAGCAGGGGAGGGGCAGAGAGGGAGGGAGACACGGAATCCGAAGCAGGCTCCGGGCTCCAAGCTGTCCGCTCAGAGCCCGATGCGGGGCTCGAACCCGTGAACCGTGAGATCATGACCTGAGCCGAAGTCAGATGCTTAGCCGACTGGGCCACCCAGGCGCCCCGAAAGTGGCATGTTAAAGTTTTTTTTTTTTTTAATTTTTTTTCAACGTTTTTTTATTTATTTTTGGGACAGAGAGAGACAGAGCATGAACGGGGGAGGGGCAGAGAGAGAGGGAGACACAGAATCGGAAACAGGCCCCAGGCTCTGAGCCATCAGCCCAGAGCCCGACGCGGGGCTCGAACTCCCGGACCGCGAGATCGTGACCTGGCTGAAGTCGGACACTTAACCGACGGCGCCACCCAGGCGCCCCAAAGGAGTTTAACCCTCTTTGAAAAGATCCTCTGTGATATACACATCTATCATTCCACTCACAGGAATACGTTAGAGGTGACCATATGGGGGCCTCCCGAAAAAAAACGGCACCCAGCAGAATGAGGGTAATCCTGGCAGTAGTGACCACTATCTGAAACCCAGAGACAGCTACTGATCCAGACTTTCCAAAAGGAGACCCAGAGGGACAAGGGGGTGAACGGCTTCATAATTGCCTTGGTTGGTGAAAGGTCAATGTGCTTGATCAGAGAGATCCAAGGTCTCTCGTTCCAGAATGGAATGATAAGAAGCCTATGCCCCTAGTGGGGAGTCCCAAATTTTTGCATGAATCATCTTCCCATTTCTCCCACACACCCCCCGCCCCCCCAACCTCTGGTAACCGCTGCTCTACCCTCTATGTCCCTGAGTGTTTCTCTTTTAGATTCCACGCGTGAGACCGTGCAGTATTTTGTCTTCCCTCAGTTTTAGTTCAGCAAACATAATGCCTTCAAGGTCCGTGCTTGGGGAACTTTTGAAACCTACCAGTGTTGGGGCCTCACCTCCTACAGATTCGAATGTCATTGGTCTGAGGTGTGTTAGGGCTTCCAGCATTTTTGTTTCCTGCCTGACCTGCCCAGCGTTCTCGACTTAGGTGGGGTGTTTTTTCCACCGCCTTCCTGAACTGCTAGGCTGACGTCCAACTCTGTGCCTCCACACAAGGTGCTTTCTCAGCACGAACCACGCTTTCCAACAACGTGAAGGGCACCTGGGTGGCTCCGTCGGTTAGGCATCAGACTTCGGCTCAGCTTGTGATCTCCTGGTCCGTGAGTTCGAGCCCCGCGTCGGGCTCTGCGCTGACAGCGTAGAGCCTGGAGCCTGCCTCGGATTCTGGGTCTCCCCCTCTCTCTGCACCTCCCTGCTTGCACTCTCTCTCCCTCTAAAACAAATAAACGTTATTTTTTTTTAATGTGAGAAAACCCAGAGACGATTTAGGGGATGTTCGGGTTTCAGGGATTCACGAACTCAACACCAGACAGCACCAAGTCATACCCTCTTGAATTCTCCACCCTTCAGGGCAAGATGCAAAGTTGTCAACTTCTAGCCTTCACCAGGAGTCACCATTGCCAGGAACAGCGGGCGAGCCCACGGCAAGCGAGGCTGGAGTTAGATCTAGCCAGAAATGACTAGCATTGATTTGTTTTCATCGTATTTATGTCTTTTTGAGTACTTCCTCTCCCTGGCAAGAGATAATGGCCTTTGCACCCAAGACTGTAACCTATTCCCTTTTGAAATGAGGTGAAGTTTCAGTTGTACAAAATGACGGGTGTCCCAGGAATGACCGGACCCCACAGTGCCCAGAGTTCACGACACCATACAGAATATTTAAACATTGGCCAAGAGGGTACACCTGATGTGAAATGTTCTGATCACACCTAAAAATAAAGCTGGCCGGAAGGAAGGATCTTTTGGAGGGGATGGAGAGATTTATGCCATTGATAGTGGTGATGGCCTCATGGGTGAATACTTACCACGAAACTCATTGGCTTGCCTATATTACGTATGTTCCCTTTTTGTAGGCCCATCAGACCTCAACAGAGTGGTTTCCAAAAAACGAAGAAGGCAGAACTCTCGGGGTTGAGCCTTATCAAGCCTCGGGGTTATCAACTCTCCGGGTTGAGCCTTACTTGGTGTCAGCTGCTCTAAAACTCAACCAGAGGGGCAGCAACCTAAATCTCAATTGAAAATTGAAAATAAAACTAAGATACAAGAATGAACCAAATGTTTAAAGTAGTAAACCATCAGGGCGGCCGGGTGGCTCAGTTGGTTAAGCATCGACCCTCGGTTTCGGCTCAGGTCACGATCTCACGGTGTTGTGAGTTCGAGTCCCATGTCGGGCTCTGTGCTGAGAGCGCGCCTACTTGGGATTCTCTCGCTACCCCCCCCCCTCCCCTGCTCATGCCGTCTGTCTCTCTCAAAACACACTTAAAAAAATTTTTTTTAAATAAAAAAATAGTAAATAATCAGCTTCCAGAGGGTGTGTCCCGTGGAAAGAAACAGGAAGTCTCCTGCTATGGGCCAAAGATAGAGAACGGCAGTGAGGATACTCTGTGCACGTGGGAAGGGAATGCTACCTCTATCCAGATCACCCAGCCACCAAAGCTCTGCTTCACCGTACCTGCAGCGTGACACAGGTCCCCCCACATGGTGGCTTCCAGGTTGCCACCCTGGCTGGAGCCTGATGCAGTCAGAAACAGCAGCACACAGCAGCCCTGGTGTGCTTGGAGGGCCACGTACGTTCCTCCGGGGGGCGGGGGGCGGCTGGGGTCTCCCCGCTGATCTCGTAGCCTTGAGAGTCATTTACAAAGAACCTGCCTCATATATTTGTAGATTAGTTGGATTTTGAAGTCTGCCAATCAACCTACCCTCAGAATGCCTGTGTGTGTGTGTGTGTGTGTGTGTGTGCGCGCGCGCGCATCTGATTGGTTATTCAACAAACCAGCACGGCCCCCGTCCCTCCGCAACACGCCGTAAGACATAAAAGTACCCACAAGTTGGTAAAATATATTTTATTCGTCCATACAAAGAAATAGTATGAATTACCAGATTTTCATTTTCCTAGAAACCTCTTTTCTCTGTGTAAAATTAATCTGTGTTATACATAGGACAAAATACTTGATTTAGTTGTTTTTTTTTTTTTGTTTTGTTTTTTTGTACATATTGGCTATTCTAACATCCAGGTTATAGAAGACACGTCGCCAGAATTTGCACAGTATTTCAGATTCCTGGGCTGAATGAACTCCGTCATAAATTAAGGTTACAAAAGCGAAAAAAAAAAAATCTAACCACACCTTTAAGTTTAAGGGACCATCCTTCTCGAGAATAACGAAAAAAAAAAATGACACGGACATGTCTGTGTTTGAGACCCACACTTAAGTATCTCTAGTTTACCGGAGCCTTGTTTTCCTTTCTTACGTAAATAAATATCCTGGCAGGATCTGAAACTTTCTCCAAAAGTCTAAACTGTCACTCGAAATAACTTCCAAAGAGAATCCTATGAAAAAGATAATTTCTCTTCCTCCATCATCCAAATAAGTATTTCTTAGGCAGCCAATATACCTAAATACCTTTCCAGGTACGACCTACCAAGTTACCAGACTACGATACAAACACCTCCAAGCGAGCACGGATTTCTGGGACAGTAAAAAAACCTCCCATTTTATTTTTATCTTTTTTGCTTTTAATAAAGAAGACAAAACCGAGAGGGGTCAAGTACCCCACTGAATAGCAGAGCTTTAAACTGGAAGAAACCCAAAACGTGCGGAGACAAAAGGCCAAAACGTGAAATGCGTGTTTGTCTTCTAACAGCTAAAAAACTTGAGTCGGTGGCCTTGGAGATTGCTAGAACAGGAAGAAACTCAAGGCTGAATTTTATGTGTTTGTGTTGCTTAACTCCTACAGGAGGAAGGCATGGGGGTTCGGGCTCTACAATAACTATCACACGATGAGGTGTAACCTGGGGGCAGATGTCGCGTCTGGATCCGTCAGGAATTACGAGCCATCAGACCTCTATGAAGAGATGCGCAGGAAGTTTGATTTATTTGTCTGCTCTAGAAAAACGTGCTCTAGTCCGTCATTGCTAATTAGCGCCATCTGTTTGGATTCAAGGATTTGACCCAGAATAGAATCTTGACTCGCTTCAGGGCTCATGACTCAATGACCCTCCCCTCCTTCTATCTGAAAACTTCCTGTTTCTGTTTTAAGGCAGGGAATAAACAACTTCATCCAAATTGTCCAGCCTGGAGAGACGGTGGGGACCCGAAGGCGGGCTGCTTTGTCGCAAGCCCTCCTCCGAACCTTTCTGCAACTCTCCACCACGAGCCCTGTTGGGGCTCGCATTTGGCCAGAGTGTGGCCAGGGCAGGGTGAGGCAGAGGGGGTGGACACTGGCTTTTACTTGAAACGATACTCTGTTACTGAAAAGCAGCATCGGTGGTTTTATTGCCAGTGAGCTTTCGGACTGGAAAACCACACGACCCATCAGCACCCTTCTGCAGACGTCTTGATGCCAAAGCAGCAAGAAGGGAGAAAGACCCACGCCAGGGTTAGGGTGTTCCCCTAAATGCAGGTGCTAAGCTACCTGGGAGAGGCAGTGACAACAGAGCTTTGAAACGAACAGAACATCTGAGGATCGCACGGAGCCCCCCCCCGGCCCATCGTCCTACACAGACCTCCCCCGACCCACGATCGCTTTGCTGCTAAGGGCGAGCTGGGCGCACCCGGGCTGAAACTTGTGGGCAAACACAAACCAGACATCACCTAATGACCAGTGACATCCTGACCGATTGCTAAAGAGGGACCATCTCTCTCCTTTCATACAAGTGTTCGTACTCTGTCGGGCAAGTTATCCCACAACGACACACGAAAGCGACTTCGTGACCATCACGCCCCGACCATTCTGACGAGACGCGTTACCTTCCCGCATGTGCCCCGGCGAAAGCAGAACTCGAATCAAAACCCTCTGATGGCAGAAGCAGTTGCGGTTCGGGAAACAGGATACGGGGAGTATGTTCGTTACGTGACATTGCTATAGGGTTACCCAACTGCCACAGGCTAAGTCCTCAAAAATGACCTCCAACTGCTCGCTCGGCAGAGAGATACGGGGGGGGGGGGGAGAGGGGGGAGCAATCGGCCATCAGCAGCAACAACGCTGGAAACCTTCTGCCGGGACCTAGCTCAAACAAGGGGACATCTTCACAACTGGCAGGCGTGAGTGTCTCCAGGCAACACGGGGCCAGCTTTCCCAGCCTGTCTTTACAAGAGCCACTCTTCGTTCTTGCAGTCTGGCCGTCGGCTGCAGACTGTGTTGTCAATCTGGGATGAGCCAGGGATTCCGAGGAGGAGAGTTCCAGACATCAAGCGAGGGGGCCACGACTCACTTCTGCTGGCCGCCTTTCTGGTGGGGGTTTGTCTTTTCTCCCCTCGGAGGTGGTCTACTCCCAGTCTACTGGGATGTGCCCAACTGGGGCTGGCTGTGCACCTAGCAGCACCTTGGCGGACTCTGATGGGGTGGGATGCACTTGACCCCTTTGGACCCGTGCGGTCTGTGCCAGGAGATTCTGCTAGCCTAGGGGATTTCTTTGGTGTGTCATAGCAGAATTGTCTGGCCTGGAGAACGGGGCATGGCGTATGCGTGCAAATCAGAGGTCGTCTTTATTTCTAAAGCAGCATCCCAGCATCACACACACACACACACACACACACACACACACGGGGCCTGGGAAGGAGGAGCTACCGTCTGCATACGATTCGAGCTGCTTAATGAACCAGGGACTGGGGCAGAAGACGACACAGGGCCATCTTTCAAAACCCCACGCCCAAGTAAACGTTTGGACCCTGGCACGAAGGACTCCCCAGAAAGGAGGTGGGCGTCCCCGCAAAGGCAGGGATGTCCCCCACGAGCTGAGCAGACTTGGGGGAAAAGCCTCAGCGCTGTGGTTTGGCGTCCACGTCCTCGGAAATGTCAACACAGGGGCGAGGAAGCTGCCACAGGAGACGTGACCCTCTGGGGGGAGGAGGGGGGTGTCGCGTTCCTGCGAGGTGTGCAGGCAGGGACAGGAATGGGAGCCGCACTAGGAAACCCAAGACACAAGGAGACGGAGAGCGAATTCAGCCAGCGATCGGAGGCTGCGTACCCGTAACGACAAAAATCTCAAGTTGTGCTTTTCTTCTTTTTAACTCGCCCGGCCCCCCCCCCCCCCGCGCCACACGGAAGCACCATCAACTGTGAGGAAAAGAACCCATGAGACGCTTTGGAATGTGAACGGATTACGAAACTAAACCCTCTGAAGAGTGTGGCTAGGCAGCTTAGTGAATTAATTGCTTACGAATTAAAAATAAATTATTATAAAATAGATTTCTGTACATTTTACATACATATAATCTCTGTCAACATAGAAGCCAAGTAGGAAAGTCACATCGCGCGGCGGGGTGGGGTGGGGGGGGGGGCTCCCATCAGTCCCAGCCGAAGTCCTGGCCGGTCATCTGGTAGAACTTCAAGTTGAAGGGCCGGTAGAACTCGCGTAGCAGGCGCACCACCTCGCGGTCGATCTCCGGGTGGGTCCTGCCCTTGGTCTTGCCCAGGCAGTGGGGCTTGCTGCTGCCCTCGGCTTTCTTGAGGCAGGGGAAGCCCTTGGTCTTGTTGAAGTAGAAGTGCTTGTCGGTGATGATCCTCTTGAGGCCCAGGAAGTCCTGCACGCGGCCCAGCTCGCCGGCCGGGTCGCTGATGAGCCGCTCCCCGCTCACGAAGAGCATCTGGCCGATGGGAAAGTGGCGCAGCCAGTGCTCCAGGTGCTTGGCGTAGATGCCGATCTGGATGGCGCTCCACGACGTGTCGATGAGGCCCGTCGTGCGGTTCTTGAACGTCAGGCTCTCGAAGGTGGGGATGTCGGGCCGCTTGGACAGCGTCTGCGTGTAGTCCGAGATGGCCCGGGTCACCGGGTCGCGCACCACCACGATGAGCTTGGTGTCCTTGGACATGGCCGAGATGCGCGCGGGCGCCTCGCGGGTCACGAAGTAGCTGGGCGTCTTCTCCATGGTGATCTGCCCGTCCAGGGTCCTCGGCATCAGGTCCCTGGGGAAAAGCAAGCAGAGCAAAGTCGGCTCAGGAGGGGACGCCTCTTTGGCCGCGCGTCTCGTCTCCGAGACGACACTTTTGATCCCGGCTTCCCCTTTGTTACCGGGACCGGCTGCGGAACCGCGAGAGAGTGCCAACAGCGGGTCGTCCCCGGAAGGTACCTTAACATCCCCACGGAGGCCAGATGCTATCTCCGTGAAGTATGACAGCACCTTCCTCCGAGACGAAAAGAGGAAGGAAGAGAGGGGAGTTTCTCCCGATCTTGTCATGGGCACCACCCCTGACTTCACTGTGCAGGCTGCCCAGCTTTCCGGACCGCCCCAAACATCAGGGGTCACAACACAAAGGCCCCTGGCCTCTGGGTATGTACCCTTCCTGACAACAGCACCTGGAGCCCCCCGAGACAGTGCTGTCCGGGAGTCCCCACCAGCCTGGCTTCGTGTGCTCACCAAGCCTGGGCACATGTGCGGCGGGAACCAGGAGGAAGAGGTCCCCCTGGCCCATCCAGGCCATACCTGCTTCAACGCGGCGACCACGGACAAAAACGCCTTCACAGCAAAAAGCACGCGGCAACCTAAAACCCAGGTGAAATCGGATGGAAGTATATAAACGGACGCAAACTTGCCAAGAGGAAATTCCCAAGACCCAGCTCTAGAAGCTTCCAAAAAATACTTTAGATTCCATTAAAAAAAGGGGGGGGGGCTCGTAAGATCTCTATCACAGCCTTAATTTAAATAAAAGTATGCCGACAAAACTGTTAACAACCTATAAGAGATGCAGGCCATGATATTGGCACCAAAAAGCTGCTTTGGGGGCACCGGCGGAGGAGGGGGCCTCAGTGGGCTGAACATCCGGCTTTGGCTCAGGTCATGATCTCATGGTTCGTGGGTTCGAGCCCTGCGTCGGGCTCTGTGCTAATGGCTCAGAGCCTGGAGCCTGCTTCCGATTCTGTGTCTCCCTCTCTCTCGGTCCTTCCCCCCCTCACACTCTTTCTCTCAAAAATAAATAAACATTAAGAAAATCTTTACAAAGGGACGCCTGGGTGGCTCAGTGGGTCAAGCGTCCAACTTCAGCTCAGGTCTGATCTCACGGTTCGTGGGTCCAAGCCCCGCGTCGGGCTCTGTGCTGATGTCTCGGAGCCTGGAGCCTGCTTCGGATTCTTCTTTCTCCCTCTCTCTTTGCAACTCTCCCCCTCACGCTGTCTCTCTCTCTCTCTCTCTCGCAAAAATAAACATTAAAAAAGAAAAAAAGCTGTTTTGTGGTGGCAGTTAGCTTTGCAAATAACACTAACCGATGATGGAAGGTTGTGACTTACATGCTCCCTGGCCTAGAGCATTTCACCACGTGATGTGGGAACAGTGGTACTTCGTTCAGCGTGTCTGTAGGAGGTTAGTAAAGCCAGAGCAGTTTAAACAGTTAAGGGAAGTGGGCTCAGACATCAGATGGCCTGGGTTCAAATCCCAGCTTTCAGCGTGTATGCTGTGCCACCTTGAGTAACTGTCTTACCTTCTCTGGGCTTCTCCTCCTCATCTGTAAGAATGAAGGTGACAGTACCTACTTCATGGAAGTTGGAAGAGGAGTAAGACCATTAATAAACATAACATGCTCTGAACATGCTTAACATATGTAATTAATACATACTAACTGCTGCTCCTACGAGAGGATTATTTCCAGTATTACTGTGTTCAGCCCGCAGTTTACAGCATATGGTGGGACAAAATTGAGCACATGTGTGCACATCAAAAGGAAAGGAGACGTGTGAACTAACTGGAGACTCAGTTTTGGTCCCGGATGCACAATCTTCCGTTAGCCATGGGATAGAGATTTCTACGTGGGCCCGGGAATTTTACAGAAGGCAATTCCCACATCATTTCTGACCAAATATTCACCTCCCAGTAGGACATCCTAAACCTCCAGCTTCAAGCCACCCCTCATCTACTGAGAGCACCGCTCCTCTTACTAATAAGCACATTTACGGAAACGACAGAAAGTTCTATCGCACGAGCCAGAAAGGGCCACATGCTGGGAGAGCTCCTTCTTCAAAAACAAGTTCGGGGGAAGGAGGTCGTCCCCAAGGACGGCCGCTTCACAGCCCTGGAGACATCCCTGGCTTGCGCTAAGGCTGGATTGACCCACTTTGCCCATTAACCACTTAGGTGAACGTGGCAGTGTCGTGGGGCTAATGGGATGGAGGGAAAAAGAGTCCTGGCTGTCAGTCTGTTCTGCGTTTCACTCAAAAGCGGGTGGAGTCTAGGGGCGCCTGGGTGGCTGGGTCGGTTGAGCGACCAACTTCGGCTCAGGTCACAATCTCGTGGTTGGGGAGTTCGAGCCCCGCGTCGGGCTCCTTGCCGTCAGTAGAGAGCCTGGAGCCTGCTTCGGGTCCTCTGTCCCCCTCTCTCTCTGCCCCTGGTATTAAGTCACTGGCAACTGGACATCTGGACATTCTTTAAGAGTAAAAGTGCCTCCATCACGACGGAAAGAAGGCCAACCACCACAGCTCTTCGTATTCTTGAGAGGGGGAGCCTCGAGGGACAGGGCGGGGGAGGGACAGAGGAGCTGAAGCAGGCTTTGTGCTGTCAGCATAGAGCCCGATGTGGGGCTTGAACCCATGAACTGTGAGATCACGACCTGAGCTGAAGTCAGCCGCTTAACCGACTGAGCCACCCAGGCACCTCCTCCCAACCCCACCGCCGTGTCCTTAAAGAAAGGGTCTGGCAGCAACCGAAATGGCTCACTGGGCCACGGGAGTAAGACACCACAGAACAGAGCTAGAAACCGGGAGAGCCTCACTGTCCCCAAGTCCAAAGGCAAAACCTCCTTGGCCACAAAAAAAGATTCCTTGAACGGCGGACGGATTTCCTGAGCTTGACCGCCTGGGGGTCACCCAAGCCACTCTGGCTGCCACCAGCTCCAAGGGGATCCCTCTCTCCCCAGAATGGTCTGCAGTCTGCACATATGTGGCAAAGAGCACACAAGGGGCCCCCAGGACTTTCTCTGATCCTGCAAATGACAGCCAGCGGACTCGTGCCGTGACAGACTGTTCAGCCCCTGCCCACTGGAGCCTGTGGGCTCCTCCCCCCTTGCTTCGTGGCCGATGGTGGAGTACACAAGTGGGTTCTCCCTCATCTCCGCACATGCCTCCTGAGTCCCCTCCACAGGCTTCCGGAGGCGGGGGGGGGGGGGGGGGCGGTCCTCCACGGCGGGCCCTGTGCTCAAGACAGAGCCCACCAGCTCCCAGCACAGCCCCGTGGGTTCACTGGGTGGGGAACACGGCTTGAGGACCGTGTGGGAAAATCCCTGGCACCGAACCTTCCGGCAGCTTCCAGGCA